GGCTTCTGTCCAGCAGAGAAGTTGCACCGTGCGGGACTAAAATTCACTCTGAGAGCAGGCGGGGTGCCTGATTTTTCGGGGGGTCTTCTTTTAAAGTGCACCAAAAAACTATCTACTTAAAAACTATTGACACATTTTTTGACAGATGTTTGACAATGACATTTTACAGAATTATATCATTTTTTTAAAGTGAGTGCACCTTTGTCAAAAGTGGAGTTGAATACTAAATTAAAAATATTAATAAATAGTTTTATATGTTCGAATGGATTTATTCGAACAACTTAATTTCCATTAGATCTTCAGTTTTCCAAAATCTTGTATAAAATCTCTTCAAACGACAAGAAAGTGACAATGTTGCATGATACCCGTGATAAAGTGTAAACCGTCAACCAACAGGAAATCAACGCAACCAACGAAACTTCGATTTTTGTAATATTGGAGAATTAGTTCCTATGTGGATGGTTTCTTCTCCAAGTAATGAGTATAAGATCTGCGCCGATTAGTATGTCAATATTAGTATAGTTTAAACAGGATCCTATTGTGTTATCCCGTGGGAACTTTATTGCTAAAATGTAAAAACCATTTTTTTTGGTTTTTAATATCTTTGTAAGGCAAAATCACTTGGTCGTCCAAAAATCGTAGTGGGAGGGGGGTGGTGGGGAGCCTTACAAAAAAAAATGCAATTATTTTTTTTCATCGTTTTTCGGATGTACAATATCCGAACATTCATTCATCAAATTTGCATACCCATCTGGACATTGGAAATATTTTTATTTTATTTATAATCCACTGAGCTGAGATTTTTAATATTAAAAGTTTTAAATTATTAAAAGTTATTAATTAGCTTATTGCTATAATAAAAATATTAAATACCTATCTACTTAATATTAAAGTAAATATTTTTTTTATCTAGAAACGGATTTAACGAAAAGCAGCAGGTCTGACACTGAACTTGAGTGAAAAATCAGATTAAGGCATGTTTTTTTTCCATAAAGTCCATTTCCTTTTCAGTTTGTTGAAGGACGCGGAAACTGGAGAATACATTTTTGTTCTAGTTTTCGAAAAATGCATCCTTACTTTTTTGCATTTGGCCATGTGAACTATTCTTTTTGGGGAACATTATATTTGTTGGACATGTACAAATTTGCTGATAAGTATCCAGAATTTCATGAAGACTTTATTAGAGGAAATTTTGTTGTGAAAAGTTGGAACAGAAACTTTTACCAACTATGTATAGATATAGCTTTAAACACATAAATACAAACTCAAAAGATGCAGGAGGAATCGTGTGATTTACTAAAACCAGCACAAAACTAGACGAATGGTTTTTAAGCTACAATATGATTGGCATGATGGTAGATGAATTTCGTGCATCATGAGACCTAAGCAACCACTCAAGTCAAAACGTAGAAAGTAGAAAAAAACGGATGAAAATTGATGAATATTCTGTACAAAAACTACATGATCAGTTTTTACGATTTAATGTATTTTTAAAAAGCGTAGATTGTCTTCTCGTAATTTCAGCTAATGAGATTGCATCGCCAAATGTTCAAACATCCTTATTAATATCCAAAAAAAAAATGAAAAAGAGAGCCTAGCAAAATTTATTGTTACTGTTGGAACTCCCAATTTTTATCAGCATAGAAAAGAGAATAATCTTCCAAAACTTCGTCGCGCAGATACCTATAAAACTGTCTCTGAAAAGAAGAAAATTATTCAAGCTGAGCAAGAATTTTTACAAAAAATACTAGCAATCAAGGCAATTGAAAGAGACATAAATATTATGAGGATATTTTCAAATAGGAATTGACAGCATATCCAATGTCACTTGTACCAGCAGGAGTTTTATCGATACCATAAAATAAATCTGCCTTAGGTTCTATAATAAAACAGTTTACAGTTGTTACAAAATCACAAAACGTGTCACATTTTTGATGGTATGGGATTGATTCAAGCCGTTGGCAAACCATCAAATGCCAAAACATTTGACGACTATGCAAGAATTTTGAAATCAATAGTGTTCAAGAACCCCTACAGCGTTAAAAGGATCGATTTTGTTTTGGATCACTACAAGGAATCTTCCATAAAAACTGCACGAGACAAAAGAGAGGCGCCAAAATTGAATCAATACAACGGTTAATTGAAGGTCCGGATACAGTATTACCTCAAAAATGGAATTCATTTATTAATTGAGTTTTTAATAAAAACCAGCTTACACACTTCGTAAGCAATCAGCTAGTTAAATATTCCTTCACAAATTGTACCGGTCACTTCGTATCCAGCAGAGGATTTTGCGACGTTTTACATTACAAAACAAATTTTGGTTTGAATTCTGAAATATTAGTCTCATCACATAAAGAGGCCGATACCAGAATAATATTACACATTCTGTCAGCAAAAATGGAGGGATATACAAAATGCATAGTCGACTGTAAAGTTACCGATCTGCCCATTTTAAAGACCTTTCAACTCCAGAAGTTTAGATGAGGGTTGGAACAAAGGACAACGAAAGATCTATAGGTATTCACGAACTCTCTATGGATTACTTTATAGCTATCTGCAGTTAAGCTACAATATGCCAATCATATTGTAGCTTAAAAACCATTCGTCTAGTTTTGTGCTGGTTTTAATAAATCACACGATTCCTCCTGCATCTTTTGAGTTTGTATTTATGTGTTTAAAGCTATATCTACAAATAGTTGGTAAAAGTTTCTGTTCAAACTTTTCACAACAAAATTTCCTCTAATAAAGTCTTCATGAAATTCTGGATACTTATCAGCAAATTTGTATATGTCCAACAAATATAATGTTCCCCAAAAAGAATAGTTCACATGGCCAAATGCAAAGAAGTAAGGATGCATTTTTCGAAAACTAGAACAAAAATGTATTCTCCAGTTTCCGCGTCCTTCAACAAACTGAAAAGGAAATGGACTTTATGGAAAAAAAAACATGCCTTAATCTGATTTTTGACTCAAGTTCACTGTCAGACCTGCTGCTTTTCGTTAAATCCGTTTCTAGATAAAAAAAATATTTACTTTAATATTAATATTAATAATTTAAAACTTTTAATATTAAAAATCTCAGCTCAGTGGATTTCGCGCTATTAGTAAAAAATAATGCACAGTGATGCACTTTCGCAATAGAATATACAACACAACAGCGTTTCAATGTAAAATCGACCCTAACAACATCGCCATCACTAGAGTCGATTTGCTTTGACTTCGGCACAGGAATCTCGCCCTTCCTCGCATCTCCGCGTTCAGCACTGTCAGTCGTGACATGCCGTTCGATTTATTTGATTTTTTCTTAAACTATTTATCCAATCGAAATTCTAAAAAAAACCCACGTGTTCTCTGATTTTTGGTCTATAATGTTTATAGAAAGTAATTTTTTGCTAAACCCAATATTTTTCGAGGTAGAGCGAGGTAAAAGATTTTAAAAATATGGGTTTTCAGAACAAGTGATTTTGTATGAAGGCGCTCCGTATACAACAATGGTTTGACGTATTTTTATAAATAAAATAAAAATATTTCTAATGTCCAGATCAACATGAAAATTTGAGGAATGAATTTTCGGTTATCGTAGATCCGAAAAATGACGAAAAAAAAATTAGCACTTTTTTTTTGTAAGGCTCCCCACCACTCCCCTCCCGCTACGATTTTTGGACGACCAAGTGATTTTGCATTAGAAAGATATTAGAAACGAAAAAAAATAGGTTTTACATTTTAGCAACAAAGTGCCCACCAAAATCTATTCTAGAAGCCTTTTGCCAGTCTATTTACTCTACTATATCCCGAGAGATATTAAAATCTGGATCCTCCAGAGATATGTAATTCGGAAAATCAATAGAATTTTGGGAAAAAAAAACTGGGTAGCTTTGATGCTATACGTGCAATTACCAAAAAGTTTAACCTAGTGTTACGTCCAATTGAAAGACAAAAAACATCAGCTTCAACGACAATTTCCTCATATTTATCTTTTAAACCGCCCAATAAATACATCAGACCAACTAAGAGAATACACCCTAACATACAATATATGTTAAACCCTATAACTTTATATTCTTGTTTCTTCTAGATGAAATATGTATTATTTAAGCATTTTAAGCTATTTAAGTGTTTTCTTAAATTTAGATTATGAGCACAAACTATGAAAGCAACTAATCCTAGTCCGTCTATTTTCTAATGTTTCTAAAATGCCGAATATTATCTATACTTTTTAAAATTACCACGAATATATTTGTATTCCCCCATTTTATACAGTCATTAAATAAATTTTATTGTTATTGTTATAATGTGAAATACCAAGAAGATTTAACAGCTTTGATTATTTCAATTCAAACTACGAATAATGGGCATTTCTTCCTGTTATTAAAGGAATTTTTATCAATTGTAAAATTTTGAGAATATTTAAAGGGGTTGTATAAAAATATGGGCATTACTTTAGTGTTTGTGTATTTTGCTTATAATTATGTAACAATATGCAAAAAGTTTTCTAGTTGTATAACATATGCAAAATATGCTCTATGCATATTTGCCTAAGTTTGAAAATTAAAAATGAGAATCTCCATAACATACTTTCAAACCAATAAATGAAAGTATATGCTATATTATAATCAATTTTATAACAGAAGCAATAATACAATGTGTGGATTACTTTAACTCACCTACCAACTACAGAAAAATAAAAAGATGGACACCGAAGATGATTTCTACACTTTTATGACAAGTAGTTAAAAAAAAATTTAACCCGTGTACGATATACGGCAATTGCGTTAATTATTATTGTATCAAACAATTGAATTATGTTTGAAGTGAAAGTCATCATTTTGAAACTGAATATCTGCTCGTAAAAAGTGTAGTGATAGGTATAATGCTGCTATGTAGATCCTATTCAAAATATTTTTTGTCACATATTTTCTTTTACGGGTGCCTGCCTCGAGCTGCTTTTCATTTAGATTTTAACCAGATAAATTTATTTATGTAATATATTTTTTTCAGGATGGTTACCATAGTTGCGAATGAGTTTTTGACTGATGACAGAGATAGAAAATACTATGCCGACCACTACACGTGTTGTCCTCCTCCTATTTTTATACTCACCGTTACCTTAGCCGAAGTAAGTACATCAATTAGGTATTGTTATAACTTTATTTTAAATATATGGTCACTGTGTAGATTATTTGAGAATTTATTGCAATTTGGTGTTGATCTCTAGCATACAGTTCTTGCAAATGTGTTCGCTTCTTTTTCTATGTTCTGCGTAATTGCAATATACTTTTGGTTTCTTTTATTCTATTTATTGATCTTCATGTCCCCATTTTCTTCTACTGTCACTTTTTTTATTTATTATGTCAATATTTTTATTTAGATTGACTGTGAGGTTTTTTGTTGATTATAGGTTGTTCGTGTTTCGTTTAATGCATCAATTTCATTGGAAGCTTCGCATATTTGCTTAAATGTTATTGTAGTACTTAAGCATATAGAAATATTACGAAAAAATACAGTGGAAGGAAACAAAAAACCAATAAAAAACCGAAGAAAGAAATATGTCCTGTTTTAAAAAATATGTCCAAATACTTACTATAAGAAAAACTACAAGCCGATTTCTTTTTAATTGTTTTTTCTTTGCTTACTTACTTACTCCGTGGCGTTACAACCCTTCGTGGGTTTTAGCCGACTCGACAACATGCCTCCACTGTTTTCTGTCTTGAGCAACCTCCATCCAATTCTCCACGCCCATAGTGCTTAGGTCTCCTGCTATATTATCTCGCCACCGAAGACGAGGGCGTCCGCGTGGTCTCCTTCCAGTTGAGACTTCCTCCCACACCAGTCTTACTGTTCGTTCGTCAGAATGTCTTCTGAGGTGTCCTGCCCATTGGAGTCTTCTGGACTTTATTTCTTTTATGATGTTGGCGTCTGGGTAAAGTTCTTCAAGCTCTTTATTAGTTCTTATCCTATATTGTCCTGATGCTTCATCAAGCACCGGACCAAAGATCTTCCTTAGGATTTTTCTTTCCCAAACACGTAGTCTCTCTTCATTTGCCTTTGTTATCGTCCACGTTTCGATTCCATACATCACAACGGGTCGTATGATTGTTTTATAGACCTGTATCTTCGTACGTCGTGTTAGTTGTTTTGATTTTATAAGGTTTTGGAGGGCAAAAATACATCTGTTGCCGGCCTGAATCCTGTTGTTTATTTCTTGTCATCCGTTATTGTCTTCAGTTATTGTTGTTCCAAGATACTTGAATTCTCTAACGCGCTCAAAGTTAAAGTCATCGATGGTAATGTTCTGACCGATTCTGTCTCTGCTTTGGTTATTGCGGCTCATATACATATATTTCGTCTTGTTTTCGTTGATTTGGAGCCCCATCTTCTCTGCTTCCTTCTCAAACCTTACGAAAGTCTCCTTCATCCTTAATCGCGTGTTTCCTATTAGATCTATATCGTCTGCAAATGCCAGTAGTAGGTTTGGTCCTTCTCGATGAAATACTGTATTCGGTTTTTCGATTCTTGCACTTCTGATTATGTGCTCCAGAGCTAAGTTGAAGAGTTGTGGTGAGAGTGCATCTCCCTGTTTTAGTCCATTGTTTATTTCAAATGTCTCCGAGTATTGTTGTCCAACTCTCACCTTACATCGTGACCGTTCCATACACATCCGTATCAACCGGACTAGTTTTTTTTGGAAAGCCAAGTTCCTGCATCGCTGTCCACAGTCTGTCCCTACATACTCTATCAAATGCTTGTTTAAAATCTATGAACATCTGATGAAGCTCACGATCAAACTCCCAGCATTTTTTCTAAATGCTGGCTAATTTGCTGCATTTTGCTAAATATTTGAAATGATACACATACTCTATCTTTTTTAAAATCTAGTCTAGTAAATCCAAAATAGTATGGAACGATGCTCGTAAGTGAATCAACATCTGAAATTAAAATATTTAACAGTACACAAAAATACAAAACTTACAAATTAACAAACGATTTTTAATGATTTTGTCCACACTTATGTCTACGTAATCAGAACGTGTGCTATAACTAGAGACCGGAATAAAATGCAAAATGTATTTTTTTGTATAACTCATATTTTGCAAAAAATTTATATTTTTATTAGGAATTGCATATATCTGCATATTTTTATAAAAAAATGTATAATGCCAATATTTTCGAAATGTGTCGACCTTTTCTCGAAATTGGTCATTCAAATTCCACTAATAATAAAATCTCTGTTTTAAGTGTTACGTGTCGGTGAAGTTTTAAGGAATAAGTAGCTGTATGAATCTCCGATGTTTTTGCATGTTTCGTGGACTTCGATAGAGGCGTTCGATAAAGTACAGCATGTAAAATTAATGCAAATACTGAAAAATATCGGAATAGATGACAAGGATATTCGTGTTATTAAAAATTTGTACTGCTTGCTATTAAAAATAAATTCTGCTTGATCGTATTCACGAGGTAGGACAGGAAATGAGCATTAAAATAAGCTCAAACAAAACCAAATTTTTAGTGTTTAGTCGTGACCCACATCCCGATGCAAAGCTTCAATTGAATGGAGTCCAAGTTGAGAAAGTTCACAAAATGACATATTTGGGAACTGTGATAACGGACCAACTACATCCAGACATAGAAATAAAACGTCTAGCAACGACTAAAACTACTTTTATGAAAATGAAGTCATTTCTTTGTAATAACCATCTCAGTTTAGAACTAAGGCAAAACATGGTTAAGTGCTATGTTTGGTCCGTACTTTTGTATAGTGCAGAAGTGTGGACGCTAAAAATATCGATCATGAACGAAATTGAAGCATTGGAAATTTGGGTTCATAGACGAATGCTGAAGATACCTTGGACAACAAGAAAAACTAATGAAGAAGTACTAAGGAGCGTCAACAAAGATAGAGACTGCTAAAGACTGTTAAACATCGAAAAATGTCTTATCTGGGACATATAGTAAGGGGACGTCGATATAAAATTTTACAACTGATCCTTAAAGGCAAAATAGAGGGCCGTAGAGGTGTACGAAGAAAACAAGTTTCTTGGTTAAAAAACATTCGTGAATGGACTCGGATACCAAATGCAGGACAATTATTCCATATTGCAGAAGATCGAGAAGCCTTCGCAGTGGTCATCGCCAACGTCGGATAATTCTGATATGGCACGCGAAGAAGTAGAATGAATCTCCGAAATTTACATTAGTTTAATTTATGGTTTTCGCGTCAAACAGTGTAAACGTATGTATCGAGACAAATTTTAAAATTGCATTTATATTGTAATTTTATTACTTAACCCGTGAATTCGTTAATTTGTTTATATCGAGATGTCCAAATTGCTTGGATTCAGCAATATCCTGAATTAAAGCTGTATGGAGGAAAACTATTTTGTCAAGCTTGCTCTAAAATTTTAAGTAACTATTTTGAATGGAGCATTTGGTTACAAACAGCATTAAACAAAAGCTTTATTACAGAGCTAACAAATTCCACTTCAGAAGCTCTGGAGGAATGTAAACGCCTCGTTAAATTACCTAATTTAGCTCAGAATCTACCTTAAATTTTAAATTTCTTGTTTAGGGCATAAAAAACTTAAAAAAAAATAAAGTTGACTCTTTGATTGATCATGTTAAGGAATCTTTTTGTATGGTTAAAGGAGACGTAGGCATATCTGTAGGAAATAAATTGCAATAAGCTTTAAACAAAAATCAGGATTTTCTATTTTGGAAAAAGTTACGGAAGTTCATCAAGGTGTACCTGGTCTTTAACTACTGCCTTCCAACATCAAGTTTAAAAATGCGGCAATATCTTCTGTTGACGTTGAAAGAAGTTTTTCAATTTATAAAAATTTATACAGAGATATGAAACATAATATTTTAATTGCAAATTTTAGATTATTGTCATTTGGATTATTGAAATTATTATCAATGGTTATTATAATGAGAACAGTAGTTTGTGAAGTTGCGTATCTACTATAAGTATGTATGGTTACTGTGTTTCTTAAAATATTGTTATTTTGTATATATTAAGGTAAATATCAAAATTGTATGAATTGTTTTTTAAATGGAAAATTTATTAACAGAGGATAAGTAACGTATACATCTTTGCATATATTACTCATATTCCTTAAAAAAATTGTTTTGCTCTGTTTTCTGTTGCAAAAATTCAGGTCTCTAGCTATAACCATGCCGTCGATCAGACAATAAATATACTGTAAGCATAAAAGCTATACAGAAATAATAAATATCCCGAAATATTCAAACTGATCTAGATACGTTCCTGGCGTTTATAAATTTACCATTATATTTTATAAATACCGTCCGGAAAAGCTACTTGTTAAACTAAAGAGGTAAATAACCTCAGCAAAATAAAAACCAAAATCAAAATAAACTTTGAATGTGAAAATAAGTTTTTTAAATTTGAAATTCCGGATCACAATCGCTTAGAATATAAACTTTATCGTTATTTTAGCATTCCTATTATGTGGCATCCCATTCAAGACATTTAAGAATTGTGTAATTGTGAATTGTGGAAAATAATGAGCTTAAGTATAGGAAATGCTTCATAAAAATAAAAGTATCATAAATGCAATCTTTTAAAAAATAAAATGTAGTGTTGTATTTCGATTTAAAATGTATACGAATATTTATCAATGATATCTGTTAAACAAGCGGTTCCCAAATAGTGGTTCGCGACCCAATATCGGGTCACGAAAGCAAAATGCCGGGGCGCCTACAACTGTCACAAAAAAGAAGGAGTCGTGGATCCGACAATATTCTGAAGATTACTTACAGACTACAGTTCGGTTTTAAAAAGGGTACTGATGACAAACTATTACGTGTTATTCGTCATGCTACAGTTTCAAATGAGTCCATGAAACCTTCAAACTTGAAGCGGCACTTGGAATTAAAGCACCAGGAATACAGTAATAAACCAATAGATTTTTTTATAAATAAAAAGAGATAATTAGTAGCTACCAAAAAGACTATGTCTTTGAATTTTTCTCAGAAAGGTCAATCTGAAAACCTTGCACTGTCTTGTTTTGAAATATCTAAATAGAAATGAAATAAAATAGTAGCATCTCAGATATATGTGATAAAAAGCAGGAAACGCAAGTAAATTTGCTGGTC